AACTGCGGATCATAGTGATAACCGGTTTGAATTCCGTTAAATATTTCATGAACGTTTGTTCAAAAAACGAGTTGACTCTTCACCTCATAAAGATCGTGAATGATTGACGATCACCGTGTGTTTCAGGCGGAAGGAACATGCTGAGCCACTCTTACAGTGATTATTATTAAGTAGGAACGAGTAGACTCTCAATTTTCTCTGTAATTTCCGACCATACCATTTTTCCAACGTGAAAAGAGTAAAGTCGCTTTCCATAAATCATATCTGGATCTACAATCAAAAAACCGCTGTTAAACAAGCCGCAACGTTGTTTGCTTACTATTCAAATTTCCACCAAAGATTTACACCACGGGTGGTGAGAAGATAACAGCGGTTTCCCCAGTCCTCAAACTTATGTGCAGTGAGAGTAATTCTTTTCAGCAGTATCCCCTAAGCTGACAAGAAATTCTACATTTCCATCATAAAGGCCACCTAAGAGCTAACCAATGCTAAGAACTACCAGTATTGTGAAAAAAAAAAACTAGTCGCAAAACTGGCAAACCTCCACTAGCCCAGAAAGACCAGCGGCTTCCTATGACATAAAGGGCTTCCTTCCGTGATCTTAGGAATGAGGTTGTATGGAAATTATAGAAGGGCTTGCACGACTTCCATATCGATGCTTCGTGCAAGCAGTCACATTTTCTTCCCTGAGCAATCGGCAAACCCTCAGATTTCAGATCAAGTCCACTTCCTATTCAATCTTTCTCTTATATTACCTTAAGAAGAGAAATAGCTTTCCAAAGGAGTGAATATTTACGACTCTTAAAGAATAATTCGCTATACAAATGAAATCAGAGAAAGAGATAGAGCCTAATTCCAGAAAACTGCAGAGCCATGCGGTATCGCAGGAGACACCCAAAGATTCATTCTCTTGTTGTTTAGGAATAAACAGACCTCTTATACAATATACAAAGCATAACAAGGCCTGCAAACACTTGATGAATGTGGGGTTCATTCTGAAATGTGACTTCAGTTAAGAGCGGTAATAGCTTCTTTTCCTTTCTTTGGAATTTTCCCTGGTCCTAGTACGATATCTAAACTTCCCGTTGATCAAGTTTCGAGAAATCTTTCCGTTCTTTGGGGTTCTGGAACATTTTTTAATGGCCGCGATAAAATTGGGAAAAAATTTCGCTTCCTGTTTATCTAACGAGTAATCACAGATACCTCTTAGTCAACATTCGCGTACTAGTTAGATTTATAACTTCTGTATATACGCATATGTTCACTCAGAGGTGCATTTCTGGACTTGCATTGCGTGAACTATGAACACTGACATCATTTCAGCATCGCATCCAATAAAGAAATATCGAGGGGTAAGCTACCAAAAAGTACACATAGCCCTCCATACCAAAGTCGAGCGACATATGTTTATGTTGCCTTCGAGAAAACAAGATAAGAACAAAAAAAAATAGAAGTCATATGATAACTGCAAAGTCTTTCGGGTCCCTCGAACGAGCTCAACTCACTGGACGGAACTGCAGCGGAACAAAGAAAGAATTGAGTTTGCTATGGCACTTCCAAAGTATGCGATGACTAACAGAATCATAGATAATTTGGATGATTCAGACAGCATGCTACTGCATCTTTCTGCACTCATATTTTCAGAACCGGTTATATTTCTTCCACTGCTGTATCTAACAGTCTCAGCACTCACAATGAGCAAGTTATGTACCGTTTACATTAACCCGATAATTGGAAGAAATGTTTTTAGCGCGAAGGATCGCCTCAACAGGTCTGTTTTCAAAATTGTTAGAAGGTCTCTCGTAATACAATGACGACGTATTTCTGCTTGTCTAACTACGGTACCCGACAAAACTCCACTTCCAGCAAGGCCACACGGGACAAAAAGCTCAATTTTCATACGAAACTAAAGACTCACATAGGATTAAAAAAATTTGATAGCGACAACTTCTAGTGATAAGGTGGTAAAAATTCACACTTGGATACGATGGGCAACAGATATTTGTGATCAGGATCTAGGGAAACTTTTGTCCCTCTACGTCAGGTTTGAAATGACCTACTGCGCACATTTTAATGATAAGTAGATAAGAATCAGCACACCGGTGCATGGGTATTTCTGTGCCAACCACTGGACAGTATAACAACTATCGAGAACCACCGTATTCCCGAAATGTGCAGTTTTCTTTTCAAACTTCCTGAGAAAAGACAACATGTGCTTTGACGGTGTTTATCATCGGCATTTCGTGAAGCAAGAGCCTGCTTGACACTAGAATACCACTATGTTTCGTATGGGATTTTATCACCACCAATTCTAGCGCCCACTACAAGCTAAACAATTTTATCAACAAAAGAATAATCAAAAAAGGAAGCCGATCTGAGGGTATCCCTGGACAACTGAGAATGATAACGAGAGGCTAGTATTATGTGATAGATAGGACCAGCTGGACATAATAAGAGAAAGTTAATCTTTTCAATGGGAAACAATCAAGCCACATATCGATCACCATAACAGAACCGTTTTCAATAAAGTGAAATATAAGGTTAGATCAAGTGAGAAGTTACGGGCTACACAACTCAGTAGTAAAACTGTAACAGCCAAGGTACTATGACGTGGCGACCTTTACCAGTTTGCGCTGCGAAAAAGTCATACCAATAATAAGAGGTATAAGAAGGAATCGTTGACCAGTGAAGATCGAACGGCTTTTTTCAGTAGTTAAAGCGACTGGGATGACCTTCAATGGTATTGTTTGTCCTTTTGCTTAATGTGTACACGAAGTGAATAGACAACAAAGCCTTTTACAAAGCAGAATAAATGCTGACCGATGGATAATTGCGGAAACTACGTTCTAAATGCATAAAGACACAGAAACTAACGTGGGCAATAAGTAGCGCCAATTCTTACGAGCAGATGTAAACCGCTGCGAAAGCTTCCAGCTTCTTCCTGCCCGAATTGCACGGATGACTTCTCTTTTACTATTTACTTGTAGTTTAACAGTTCTTAAGAACTTTTGACGATAAGCAATTAGTGCTGCATTGTTAGTAAGGACTAGGCTATTTTATACCTTTCCAAGAGATTGCGCTTGCTACCAGTTCTGTAAAATCACCACTTTCCCTTAGCTGTTAAGTCCATTGTAAAAAAAAAAGACCATATTCTAATAGAAATATAATAGCGCTCCAAAACCACCGCTCAGTGTTTGTCAAGTACTTTCCTATCCCATTTGAAATTAATTCCAAAGCAGTTATAGTAATTTGAAGCCAGAATGAGCAATGAACAACTTACGTACATTTGGCTACAAGCAACAATGAAAGATGGTTTGTTATAGATTCAAAACATAAATAGTTAAGAAAATATGAAGTTTAAGAAAGTTTTTAGCACCTCAGTATCTCCAATCCCAATGTGTCCATGGTGTAGTAGGGGCAAGAGAGTTGGATTATTCAGTAGAAAAGCACTCAACCAATCGGCCGACACAGTCACTTGAGAAGGAGATTGAGACTGCGCCTAAATGCATTCAAGACATCGTATAGAATCTGTTATTTACTATGTTACGTGAAGCCAGAATAACTGTGGATTTGATGGTAGAATAAGGCAGTACACTCGAACAAGCACTCCTTTTGAATTGCTGTTTTGAACCATAACGCTGAGCCAACAAAATTTTTCCATAAATAAAGGCACGATTAACTTGTGGTATATTGGTACACGTAGGATAGGGCACAAACGAATCCATTCGCTTAGGTCTCCCTATCCAATAACCATCACATAGACGCCATTTCAATACGGGAAGATTATTTGCTTCACACAATGGTGAAATCAATTCACAGTACTAGAATGTTTACTACTTTTTAGACGCTTTTTCTAGCTCCAATTCATCGACAGGGCAACTGAACTATGTAAAAATAAAAAGGAATACAAACGCCTATATTTACATTCAACAGTTGCCCGAACATCAATTGAGCTGCAGTGTTGCTGTCGTCTTTCTTTCGTGGCACAGTTTTTGGAGGTCTTGGCGAGACGTGTTCATCACCGCGAAGTTCAGCCTGCGACAATGAACCTGAAGCATAAGATTCAGATTCTAATCAGTAATCAAATCAGTAGATGCAACATAAACCGAATCGTCAATAGAACTATCAGTTGCGTCCCACCAATCACCACCTCAACTAAGGTATTTTTTTCCTAAGCGAAGAATTGATAATTTTTCAATGAACTTATACCTTTCTAGAAATATCGTTACTCGCATCTTCACACCATTTCACACTCTTGGAAATCATATGGTACATCTCTGAGGCCGACTATGATTCTTGAACGATTTACTCGCATCTATCTTATAGAATTCTGGGAGCATTTCTTCAATAAATTGACGGGACAAAATCGAGCGAGGGATCTCGAGTCCGTTGGTGATGAAGTTACGAATCACGTTTCTCACTGTAGAATAAGAAGCTGGACGAAGATCAAAAACGAGTGTGCTCTGTATTTGCAGATGGATTCAGAGGACATTCACTATGTTCGGATTGACCTATGCCTACCGCACATGACCTGCCACAGGCTGATTACCAGAAATATTCCCATACAACGATGAAACGGTTGAGCATTGTGGGATACCTTTCACGTACATGTAACAACACCATCGTGTAACATGCAATACCAAACATGATTCCACTGATATATCTGTGTACACTGGAACTGTACAGGCACATAGATTTCGCCAAAGCCTGGCATCAAGGGATTGCAAGGTATATGGAGGCGCTTCAATGCCGCATTGAACAAATGAACTACGAGGGAGTGCGACAAGTTAGCGCTATGGAGCCAGCCTATAAATCGAACTGAATGAACTACTAGTAGTTAATCTCCGACATGAACAGTAAGAACAAAAAGGTATAGACCTTACTGGTTTCCGCTCGACTCACTTGATAAGTATCGGGGTACAAATGATACAAATGATTTCACCCCACTCTTGTTTTTGTACAGTCGGTTACGTTCAGTGTTGTCAAAAATCTAACACCATTTACCAACTGTTAGTCACGAAATTACGTCGTACAGATAAAACCACAGCCTTCCAACAGAGAAAACACGTGAAAAAAAATATCATACCAGGTGGTCTGCTGCTGATTGCGATGGCCTTGGCGTCTCCTGGTTGCCCTGTACGCATCATGCTGTTATTGTGAGCGTGTAGCTCCTGAAACTTTTCCAGCATTCATATAAGCAAAAATTTCAATCGAAATGGTAAAAAAACTAAATGTTTTATGGAGTGTCTCTCAGTGTTTATCAAACCCTTAAGGATGCAGCATGTAGGTGACTCCATAAAGGATGATAGAATTGAGTAGAAGCATGAGTGGCCCATACAGCGACTTAGAGGAGCCCATCGGTCTCTCATTCAGTGGTCATATCCTCCCAGATATGTCTGCTAACAATTCCTCAGCCATGGCGAAATGGAGAATTTGGTTCGGTTGAGTGGGATCGAACCAACGCCCATATTGTGCATTACAAGGCACTCTTTACCAATATGCTACACGCACCCTAGCTCATACGAACAAGTTATCATTATTGGAATATTGAATAGTTAAAGGAATACTTTTTTATCGGGAAAAGTCCAATTGCAGCAGCCACAGGTGAAAACTCGATTAATGGCATGATGTACGCCCATGTGACGACGAACGGTCTCGTGTGCTGGAACGAGAACAAAATCAATAGGAATTATGAATAATACTCCTATAGAAATTTGACCTTTCTCAGACGAAAACGCGTGAGAAGGAAATGAAAACGCAACGCACCGGGAATTTTCGCATCACAAAGTTGACAATGCTGATCGTCGCCATGGAAATTCAGGCGATGTCGATTAAGCGACGCTGCATGACAAAACGTTTTACCACAGTGACCACAAAGAAACTCGCCTGTAAAGATACGGTTTTTCTTAAGGTAGAATAATTGAAACTCCCAACGGTTTACCGCCTCATCGTAGCTGGGAGGTGTTCCTGGGTGTCATAGTGCGATGTACAGCGGGGGATTCGTTCCCTCGGCAGGGTCTCCCAAACTAAGAAGGAATCCGGCGTTTCCATCAGGAAGCCTAGCTAAGAGTAAACCAATACCAGGATCCACCGCCGTCGTATCAAACTAGTCGCATGCTGGCAAATCTCCCTCTGATCAACAAGTGGGGCAACTACCTATAGTGGTAACGATCTGGGGCTACTTTGGCCACTCTGATTTTGGGACAATGACTAAACCAGCAAAACTCTAAAAATGAAGATTATGCTGGAGTTCGCACAAACAGTGAGGACGGGCCGTCCAAGTGTTCAAGTGTCCAAGAATAATTGAAAACGTAGCCAAATACTTTTGAACTTGACTACTTATGATGATATATCCCATAGGTGATGCATAGAAAGCTCACGGGAAGCTCAACAGATTGAACTACAAAAATATAAGAGTTATCCTTCATACTGATGAGCATAATGACCTACTGATAAGCCTTCATGTCCTACGCTTGAAGAAGGATCCATGTAATTGAAAAAAAAAACCAAGAATTCATATGATACACAACAGGTTTGAACGTTCCGCATCTAATCTGAGGAACATTAATAAGTTCTAAATCAGAAATAGCTTAAAAGTGATGTGTGGCTGTTAAAGGAACTTCAATAATAGATTCCTCTCATAAAGTTCTTTCATATGTCATAGAAGACTGAAAAAATTGGAATTTCAATTATGTCTTCAATGTAGATCTTCTTTGCTATACTTATGATGCCTGTTCTTTCACCAATGAGTTAAATGTTTCTTTTCGACGTGCAAGAGAAACTTAATCTACGGATTTTCCTAACTGAGAGATCCCCAGCCTTTCAATCGCGAGCTACGTGGAGCGTCCTCAACTAACCAATAGGGTGAACTAAAAGTGACCTTGCGCTTTCCACAAGACGCCGAAAAATTCAGATGATGGATCTGCTGTCCCTGCTACGTCAGATTTACACACATCCTGTATGTAAGCAGAAATACTCCTCCATGTACACAGAATGTGGCCTTTGCGACCCGTGATTTTATCCTGCACTTCAATTCAATCAAAACCTTGCAATCAAGTAACCAACGAGTGCACGAAAAACGGTTCGGAATCGTCTTCAGTAAATAAACTCCGTGTCTACTCTAAAAGAGTAAGCTAAACTTTCGATGGGTGCCTCTCGGGAAGAAAAAACAATGTGTGTAAACTGCTTGTTCTCCGAAATCGAAAACAGCAATACGACCGTATTGAAAGGGACGAGAGCGGTGAGCGACTGCTAAACCTGAAGACCTTTTAGGCGCCACAAACATGGAGTGATTGTGATGTCGATCTGAACTTATAACGCATATAAGCATGCTAGCACTCGAAACCAGTCAGGATTTAATGATGTCAATTAAGAAGAGATGTGACACACCATCAGATTAGGTGAGATTGCACAACCCATTAATCAGTGTTTATGATTCCGGAGAGAAAGGGGTCTGCAACAGCATCAACAAAATCCACCAAGAGCTTTACAACTACAACAACAAAGTGATGGCTCTATGGCTCCCCAGTACAAAAGTCACTGAATCTAAAACAGCGATGGGTGAAGTTACTGACGAATTAATGTCCGTTACTTCCGACAGCCACATACATCTGCTTCCACATTCTACCAGGGAGGATCACCTTGTCATCTCAGTAGTTCACCATTCCGAAGTTGAGCATTTTATTATGCCGGCGAAGAATCATTTAGCACTTAATCTTCGCAGCATCAACCTAGAACATGCAAAGCGTCTGGTCCCAACCAACATGTTGAATCAGTTTGTCAAATGTTAATGCGCAAAATGCAAGGCTTTAGAACAGGAAAGCCCAACAGTGATGACAGTAAGCAGAATTTCGAGAACGATTCAGTACGATCGATTATACACTCACAGTTACAGAACTCACTGAGGTATCCTTAGGGCAGAGAATGTCGATACGGTACCCTCATCATTTTAAAGAAACTCTGTTGGAGACGAAGGCATCATGCATGTCTTTGAAAATCAGAGCGTCCCTACCTATTTATTACGCCATGATCACTCATAATACAAAATGATAATCACTTCTACGAGAACACTTTAAGTAAAATAGGATTCCCATCCACTAACGTACGGAAATTGCGATGATGTGTAGTGCCGATGAAAGTTCACTGGTGATTGTTACAGTATCTACACTGCTGATGGTGTCGTTGTTGTAACGTCGACCGTAAGCCATGTAGAGCGAATGCTGAGCATTTCGACGGCGCTGTGACGAAGATAGGTCATCGGCTGAATTTCAAGGAAACGATGTTTATGAAAAAACATACTCGTTCCAGATTGCGTGCTCACGTTCAAAAAACTTGAAGTACTTCCAAATGTTCCATCGGTGTATATCTGGGAGAAAGAAATTCACGTGATAAGCGAACCCTCCAGAAGTGAAAAGAACGAAACGATTTTTTGGGAATTTATAAAAACAACCATTGAGGAATGAATGAAAATAATTGAGAACGTTAAATCCAGAGCTCGACTGTTTAACCCCAGGATTTTTTTCTGGCATTAATACATTCATCGAAAACCATGACAGTGGAGAGTGGCGAGAGTTATAGAAAGCGCTGCCGTGATAGTCATGCTAGAAAACCCGTCTTATGGCCGCAGAGTGAGTGAGAGTCGAAATTCCGACCTACGTGTCGACAATCAAAGATCAAGACGCAGTCGCCAGCACACTCAAAAGTGCCAAAAACGTGGACAAGCGCTATTTATGACCTAGGCCACAATAAATGTGAAGCGTACAACCCGAAGGGAACTAATCCTATGCTCGGAGCAGTGCTTCACTCCATTCGATGCGACTTTATGCGACTAGAAAGACCTACATAACAAAAATGACCGGCTATGGAGGATAAGACTCGAGTCAGTTGCTCTGAAGAAGGCGAAGGCACCAAAGCGTTCCTCAAATGAATGAAAATCTCCATCGAAATTGCGTTAGCTCATCAATGGAAAAAAAAAGAGATTGACTATTTACATGTAAGTTAACTGAAAGCCGATTTACAAAAGTAGCTATGCCTAGATTCCTAAGGCGAAATCTTTCAGGGGAAACATGAAACCTATGCTGTTCATTATCGAAAAAGCAGAACTCGTTGAAGCACCTCGACATGTGCCACTGCGAAAAACAACGACTCTACCGATCGCTCGTTCGAATCGTTCAATAATCAACAGAGGGAGAAGCAGTACAAATAATGAGAAATACACCATTATTTTTTACGTCTTACAATGAAAAGTAAACCAAGAACGTTTGAAAAGAAAAATGAACATAATCAAGCAGACGGGAGGACTGACGCATATTTCAGTGTGTGTTCGCCACAGTGTAGAACTGAGCTTTTGATAAAGACGGCAAAAAAATGAACAGATTTCTGTTACTCTCAATGTGATTGGTACCAAACTCTCTTTAGGTTTTATTGCTTCCTGAAATAGAGAACTCTTTGAGTGTCCAGGAAAAACAAGTTACTATCAACGGGCAATCACTACTATTAAACATCAGCATCCTGCATAAAAAGTGATCACCTCATTCGGGAGATGATCTACTGAGGAAGGCACAACGCCATACGAAGGCGAAGACGCCACATCGAGACGAAGAAGGACTATCAACTCGGATCGTTGACGGTGATGAAGACGAAGACGTCGAAACGTTAACCCAATAAAAATTTTTTATCAACCTCATGAGGGCTTATCAAGAAACGAATACAAGTTGAAAACTCTTTGCTTTTTTAATGAGCAGACATGAGGTTGTTAAAAAAGAGATTTATGCACTACAATTATTGTTTATTTCGCTTTCTTACGCTTGGGCAGTCTCGCCCTCTTCACAGCCGGGAAGGGTCAAATTAACACGCACTCTACTCAGTCAAACACTTTCAGAACTCCAGCAAAAAATAACTCAATACGTGAATTTTTGTTCCCATAGTAAATTACTTCTTTAAACATCCACCGTTTTAACAATATTGTAAACCGACTTCCATTTAACCTCGGTATGAAGGATCAGTGTACCTGATTTCATTGATAAACTAACTTGAGGTAATAACCGAACATTTATTCCGCTAACGTTTCGACACCCTCGTCTTCGTCAGAGTCGCTGATCCGAGTCGATCTCCAGAGTCATTCCTCCGCTCGATGTGGTGAATTCGTAGGCATATCGAGTCGAATATTCTTCAGATATAGATAGTCGATCTTCGTATCGAGTCCTGTATAAACCAGCGCTGCTGGATGAGGTTGCCTCATTCGAGCGATGCTTCGCTGAGGAAGATTCGACTCGATACGACTATGATCGAGAGGAAGAACGACTGTGGACTACTGAGCCGAATCATCGGCTCTTAGAAAGATGAGGACGTCGAGACGTTACCCGAATAAATGTTTAGCAACAACTTCGTGTTAGATTATCAATGAAATAAAATACATTCACCGTTTTGTTCTTTTTGAGTCTTCCACTTATTACGGGTCATTACGGTGTGTCACGCTCAGTTCATAAAAAATTGGCCTGAGGTATGGAACGGGATCACACGTGACGTGATCACCGGCACTCTTCCTTGCGATTCATCTTTGGATTTTTGGAATTTATCCAAAATACTTCAAGAGTTTTCCGCAAAGATGTTTTAGATTCCTGTTCGAGGGTACTGATATTCACTTCAAAACCTTCTCCGTTATATCGTTGTGTCCTATGCGAGCTTAGTAGAGCGTAGTGACACTACCTTCCTGCCAACTCTAACAACTTTTTATTCTCCCTGAATATCAGGAAACATAAAGAGTTTGCGTTCGTTTAAGTAAGACTAAAGCCGTAAAGCCTTATTAATCTTCATAGTTCTTGACATGATGACGTGACAGCAGTCAAGGGTTTTCAACCCAACGAAACCGATCAAATGGAGGTGACGGACAATTGAAACTATATAAGAAAATATAATATTTTTGAAAGTGATTCTTCCCTTAAATATTGGAAGAGGAAGGAAGTAAGCAATTTCCACGCAGAAAGTGCAATTCTGAAGAACAGTAACAAACACCATTGGTGTCCTTTCGCCTAGAGTAACATTTCATACGTGACAAATCGTGACACTAGTGGAACTACCAATGAATGAAGATGGAATTAAACCATTCTAAACATTCTAAGACATTTAAAAGCAAGAAAATTTAGTTTAACTGCCTAACTGCTGAAGAAGAACAGGTGTGGGAGATTTCTCAGATCCCACATGGGGTCGCACTTACGTACCGCCGTCATCTACAACCAACCGTGTAGCACCAGCCAGATCAGGGTGGCTCGTGTGCTACAACAACGAGAAAAAGTAAGGAACAGAGTAACTTCAGGATGTGAATCTTATCATTGTTTGACAACAAAATCACTATGGAATCTCCATAGAGAAGACATGTATGTGAATTTTTAAGAAATGTATGAAGTCTGGTTCGAATTTCCATTAAAAGGAAGAAGGATAAAGGATAAAGCTCTCGGCGTTGATCAATTCATGCGAGATGCGCCATGCATTCTGCTTCATCAAGCGTCGTTTGGAGGTGATTGAATGCATACCTGGCCTTTACAATGACTCGCGGTAGCCTCCCGATGTATCGAGCCAGTTCTGCTGTCTTCCCAGACAGGTCTGGTACCAATTTGCCGACTCCGGAAGGATGAAAGGTTTGGTGGGCCATGGACGCAGGGATCGATTCCACGTGTGTGTGTTGCAGGGCGCCTCCGACCACTGTGCCACAAGCGCCAAAGAAAGAATAGTATGCAAAAATTATCTAATTTTGAATCTCTTTTTCGGCAAAAATCACTTACAGAAGACTGAATAGCTCATAGAAGGCAATACTGTAGGGAAACTGGTAACAAACAATGTGGGTAGAATTTTAGTTCAGCACGTCGTTGTCCTCATACGAGATGATCTGCTGCGAAGATGACGCTGTCTAGTTGAAAAATATTTCTTTTCCTTTAAAAACAACTTCGCTATAAAGTGAATGACTGAAACACAAAGGAATTGATTAGTTAAGGAACGTTATTTGTTCAAATTGGTAACGATCACTAGGCGCCAGGGTGTCGTTATAGAGCGGTTCCAATTTGACCAGATGATAATGACAGACACAGATTTCAATAGACGTTTCAGTTATAAGGAAAATACTTAAAAGAACATCAGTACATCTTCAGCATCTCTTCCTTTTTTTCAAGAACATCTTAAGCGACTTCAAGCTAGACTGGTCAGCAACGACAATAACATTAACCATCGAGTAAATCATCATCAGTCAGATGTCTAGGAATGAGACAAACACTCAAGGGGTGGTAAAGAGAGTAAAGTGAGAGATTACGAGAGGACAAGAGCAATGAAAAAAGAAAAAGATGAGTGAAAAGGGCCGAGGAGGAGGAGGAACGTTGCGTGGAACGCCCACGAAGAACAAACAGAAAGAACGACGAAAGAGAAAAAAAGTATAGATCAAAGATTTGATAGAAATTGAGATAGGAAAACAAGGAAAAAACTAGATTCGACATTAGGAAATGTTCCAATGATTAATTCACTATATGCTGAAATATCTATGTCCACCGAAATTCAGAAGCCTTCAGATTTTTGGGAAAGTACAGTACCTGGGGACCCCTTCCTTCTGAGGGGTAAGCTCGATAGTTTGGGTCTACTCGGTAAATCAACCAATATAATAAATATTAAATCAATAAAGGAATGAACGAACCCGTCAAACATGAAGCCTACCTTTCAGATCCGGTCGTTTTAAGTCCGCCTCAGGTCTGTACGGCATAGTGCTCCTGAAACGAAAATCAGATAAGACCGTAGTCACGTGTCTGAGATTCCGTGTATACGCTGAATACGAGAAGATACAAGAAAACTCTGACTACAAGAACAATATGAGACAAATATGAAACAGAATGGGATTTCGGAATGATAGAAATCAAAACGCAATTCGTTACGATTTTTCTCCTACTTACAACCGCTTCATTCACTTATTCATTGATTCCATTCATTCCTACGAACATTAAAGAACATAATAGTGCAAAACGAACTCTTAAAGGTCAGAGACGTATCCGTGATGATGGTAGTGACAGTGTAACGAACTAAAGAGAGTTTAGATGGCAGTGAAGTTGGTAAAGCATCGCCGTTGTCGTCGTCGTCGTCGTCGCCGTCGTCGTCGTCGTCGTCGTCGTCGTCGTCGTCGACCCCACATCGACTGCCAACCGGCGAACCGCACCAATTTACAGTGTAAGCTCGATCAATGCCCATAATCGGTTACCTACCCGTTTACCAGAATGACACAGACACTGGGTTGCGCACATACCAGCGTGAGCAATCTCAAACTAAGTCATCACCACGTACTTCTATCCATACATAATTCTATAGCTAAAATGAGAAGAAAAAAATCAATAATGGTAAAAACGGTGGACGTTGCAGCTCAGTTCAAATTTCACGCACAATTCTTCGGTATCGATCACAGCTGAAACGTTTCGAGGAATTAAGTGGTAGAAATTGTGGTGGTAAATTAAGTGGTAAATTCGATCGAGGTTTAAATTCTGCTAAGAGAGAAGCGATCAAGTCGAGCACATTCGCTACATCGAAGCGAATGCTAATGAAGAAGCAGCAAACATAGAAGGCCACACGTCTGGACATGTCCCCACGAGTTTGATCTAATCGATATCAATCGTGACTAGTCTACCTTTAGCGTTCTTTCCAGCTTTCCATTTTCGTAATGAACAGTCAGCTTTGAGTGTCTTCGCTTATAAGCATAACATGATAGCTTAAAATCCACAAATACATAGACTGCTTTGGTCCTACTGTACGTTGTCATTGAGTTTACAGCGATTGTAGATCAATACTAACTCGTCTCCGGGTATAGGCAGTCGATAATGGTTTTCTTTCGCCCGTCTTTATCGATAGACACCACCGTACATATAAGTACAACAGTTTCTTTTCACTCATGTTCGAAGATCAAAGTTATACAGGAGCAGCTTCCCACTTGAAAACACAGACTGCTCTGCCCAACTTTGGGTATCCCGCTGTGTGAGAGGGACGCGCTCACAGAAATGAAATCAGAAACAAGAACGAAAGCGAAAATTACCACTTGGAAGATCGGAAGATGACATCATCAAACATCAGACATTTAAAATGCCATTAAACATTGGACTTTTTTGAGCAGTAACTTTCATTGAACACTCGAGAATAACTACCGCAAACAGCGTAGAAACGATGAAATAATGTCTTCTAGATTTTCCTTTTCTTTTATTTTATTTGACCCGCCTTCACGTCTATGCGGATCCCCGCACTTTTCACATTCGATTCGTTTCTTCACGTCCATTACCCACGGAGATCTTCCAACTTTTACGTGTGGCTTCGGTTGCTGCTTGAGGATTTCCATTTCATCTTGAATATCATAGAATGCTGGTCGAGCAGTTCTCCCTGGAGTCCCGAGATAGCCGGGCTGGAGCGTTCCCAATTGGATTGCAGAGAGTGATTTATTCCCAGACAAGTCCGGTACTAATGTCCGGACCCCAGATGGATGAGAGACTAGGTTGGCCCGGAGCGGAATCGAACTAGCACTATGCTCGTGATGACGGACATCACTACCACTGTGCTATCCGCCCCTACGCCTTCTAAAACTATGCTAAATCTTCAGAAGTAAAAGTATGTGAGCACTTCGTCACTGTCAATACCGAAAGTTATCGTTGATTTCATTTTTCGTCCTATACAATATAACAGATTCAAATAGCCAGTACTGAATTTTGATAGATTACATTCACATTGTGAGAATAAATGAATAACACAGGAAGAAGATGATGTCACTACTACTTTTTAAAAACCCTGACAGAAGTAGCCGAACCATTGAATTCCGGTTTGGTTGAAGTCTTATTTCAAATAGATGTGTCCCCCCGATCGAAAGTACATCTGGTGCTTCGTTTTCCTAAGCTCTCTTACCAACAGAATTCAAAGGATCTGTCAAATTCTTCTCTTTCACTGGATCTTTCTCATCATTCACAAAATCAACCCTTTATATTCGACATTGTATTTTAAATAATAAATAATCAGCTTTTAGATTTTTATTTGGAATCGGCGAGTTTCCAAACCTGGACGAGACCTGATGATGATATGATGATCTAACAGGGTTGGGTTGATAGCAAACCAATGCATCTATCGCTTCCGAAAGCTCTTCTTTCTCTTAACTAAGAAGAGAAAAATCTATTGAAAAGAAAGAATAGAAATCGATTGTACTCATTGTGGAATCGATTTTACTCTAGTTATAATTGCAATTTTAAAAATTCGTTATGTTGTCAAACTCTACAAGACTTAAACGAGAAAAACAAATCTGACAATCTGAATAGGTCTTGCCTCCTTTCCTTAAGCGAAGAAACTACTGAAAAAAAGTATGAAAAGACGAACTATACTTATCATGGTAATGATTTGGTTACAGTAATAGTTCTAGTTATACAAATCCATCGAGAAATCAACGCCTGCAGTAGAATTCCTATGAACTGTGGTGGAGGCGACGGTAGTGTTGGCAATCGATACTGACTGGTTACATTTGGCATGTTGGTGGTGGTGGTGGTGGTGGTCGAGCTTTTACCTATGACTCGTAAGTATCGACTCAACTGCGCCGCCGATGTGGGTGGTGACCTTGATGGAACGACGACGACGACAACGACGGCACTACCGCCACCACCACCACCATCATCATCATCACCACTCAACAAGAAGAACATCAACGGCTGCCGTCATCAGAAAGGAAATGGAAGCGGAGAATTTTCGGACAGAGAGCACTGAATACCATCATCTGCTATAGCAGTCTCTTTTACTACAAGAGGCGGTAAAAAGTTGTTGTATAAGCTTTATTTGGCTTCATTCTTCGTTTCGTCGTCGTCGTCTCATCAGAGCCAGAGATTTGTAAACTTATACAGCAACCTCGTGCAAGCTTAAGAATTCAAGAAGGTACTGATTATTACTGCAGGGGTTAAATAACACTCGGTTTGAAAATTACAGAAATAAGTCCTAGCTTAGTTTAGTGATAACTGGAGAGCTAAAAGAGCACTCAAACAAATTCTAACAGAAAACAAGCCGCTTAACTATTGCTGCTCGATTTTCGACTTATACTTGTTTTGTTCCTTACAGTGAAGATATATAATGCTTGGCAACGTCAATACTTTAGGCAACAACACGACGCCTGTTGTGTGCCGGTTCTGTAAATTTCGACTTTCTCATCGTGATCATCACCATTTTCATTCAATTTTCCGAGCTACTCGGCGACAGAGAACTACTCACTAAGAAGAATCAAGCATAGAACTTAGATTAAGGGACTTGGCTTACGAAAAAATGACTAGCGCTGAAACATGCGAATATTCGATCTCTTTGAGAAACACCAATTTCACCGTCAAGGGAAATAAGATGTTTTAGAAAAATCACTTAAACTCTTATAGTGGAGTTCATGTTTTTCTTTTATTATTGTCGAAGTTTCCAAAATCAGTTCTAATTCTGACCCTACAACAGATTATCGACGGATCGTGAGTCCAGGAATATCTACTGTTATGTGATTTCTCTTACAATTCCATTATCCCAGTTACCAACTGAAACTTATCAACAATCGGAACACTAGTTCTACTGAAGCGTTCAGCAATGGAGTTCACTTATGATTAGCCTGTTGAGAATATCTAACGAAATCCGGCCGTCCCGTGCTTTCATGAAGAATTTATGTCTTAGGGCCACTTTTAACTCTATGATTTTGAAGATTACTGAGAAAAATTCACTTCNGTCAAGGGAAATAAGATGTTTTAGAAAAATCACTTAAACTCTTATAGTGGAGTTCATGTTTTTCTTTTATTATTGTCGAAGTTTCCAAAATCAGTTCTAATTCTGACCCTACAACAGATTATCGACGGATCGTGAGTCCAGGGATATCTACTGTTATGTGATTTCTCTTACAATTCCATTATCCCAGTTACCAACTGAAACTTATCAACGATCGGAACACTAGTTCTACTGAAGCCTTCAGCAATGGAGTTCACTTATGATTAGCCTGTTGAGAATATCTAACGAAATCCGGCCGTCCCGTGCTTTCATGAAGAATTTATGTCTTAGGGCCACTTTTAACTCTATGCTTTTGAAGATTACTGAGAAAAATTCACTTCACATGATCCATTATAGCACCGATAAGGCTAACTAACGAAAGAGGACGATAGCCTAACTTACTAGGATTGCCACTGGGGAAATGTGTCTTGCGAGCTTTGATAATTAGAACTCGAGGATCATTGTGGCCACTAGCAGCTCCTTATCGAATATTATCAAACCTTATCCAACAAGTTAGACCAACACTGTTGGGATTCTACAATTCTACTTCCCAAACGAAGAAGAAGGAAGAGAGAAAATTAACGTTTACAGAAAAATGTCTCAGAATCGGACCTTCAGTTGGATGTACAGGAAAACCAATGGGAACTAAGATCACTTCGGAAATTCTCCACAGTGCTTACGTTCGATGTTGTGTGAAAGGAGTGAAGGCGTGAAAATATTAATTAACCTACAAATCTCAAAGACTCGAGAAAGGACACCGACATAGACTGTATTTTAGGATCAAATCGGTGGTGACCGTAGATTAAATGACTAATATTTCTCTAGATTTCTACCGTAGAATTATGATTTTACGATTCTTAGTGTATGTGTTTGTTTTGTTACACGATAGACACAATGTAGCGTTAGTGCGGTAAACATGACCGACGTCATTAAAACAGACAGCTGAAATTTTCAGTGTAAAAGACAACTTTTCGTAGATAAGTTGACTGACTATTGATTATGCTTCTGAAGAAAATTCACCTGAACCATCAGAATCCAAAAGCCATCAGCATTTATGGCCAGAGGGGAAAGAAGGGCACGACGACCAATTTCACTTCTACGGTAGATATCTACCTTGTCAAAATAGAAGATATTTTAGGCTAAACGAATAGGGATTTGCTTCATTTGGGAAAAATCTATGCACACCTGCTTTGATACTGAGGAGAAAAGAACGAGCGGTCAAGTTAACATGAAATAATGGAAGATTTTGATTCGTAAAGAAGTCGGTAGCAGGATTTCTTCAGACAATATCAACATTACGGAATAGATACAGGAATCATAGAGTTCCTTTGGTTATGTGAAACGATGATATTTCTGAAAAAGAGTCAGTAGGAGGAAGCAAGGAAGAAAGGAAGGACAACGACGATGATGACGACAACGTGCGCATACGGCGGTGGCGGTGACGGCGGCGAGCCATTCCGTAATTGGTGGTGGTGGGGATGCGAGAAGAGGGGTGGGGGGTCGGGCCGAGCGACAAAAGCTCTGCGCTCTCACCCACCCATCTCTCGAGGTCAAAGCTGTATTGTACTATCTGATCGATCTACGAACGACCCAATCGGATGATGCACACACACATACACACGGACACTGTAACTGGTAGGTGACTATGAATGAAAATCACAACGGGCAGCAAGTGCCTACGTTCTCAACCTGCCCGCGATGCAATAAACCTTATGCGGATAAACACCGACAACTAAAAAGAAGACGGGCTGTTTTCAAGAAAATCTCACATCTGCCTTTGCCGGCGTAGGTTGGTCTACAATGATGTGCCCGAATGTGACCTATAAGGTGACAAGCTTTCAAACTCTACGGTTCCATTCTTAGCATCGTATGTATCTTTAGTGGTTCTTATGGTGCTATTTGTACTTGATACAAGCTTCTTTACTTCAAATTTCATCTCGTCAACATTTCGAACCGTTTAATTCACACTGTTCACGGAAAATTTGAACCATCGTTAGAGAACTAACGAAACGTCACCGTTTTAGGAACCTTCACCTGATTGACACAATCGGCACATTCATGAACAAATGAATGAAAGTGGTTCATGTTTTATTTAATTCAAATAGGCACAATGCACTTTATCGGTAGCCTAAGTAAATCTCTAAGCATCACACACGATGCTGGTGCACTTTCAAAATCATTTGCCCTTTTCTAGGACACCCTTCACATACGGTCGCGATTACTACTGCCACAAAATAGGAGATGAAATTGAAAAATTCATAATTTTTCTAATTCTGTGAAAATTATGGCATTTGACGGTTTTTAGGGTCAAATATCTTTTCAGTAAACCTTGGTTACTAACAGGGTTATTACGGTCAACCGTCTAACCTCTCTCAGTACTCGAAGAGCGCGACTGAGCTTTCTCACATCTTTTCCGTTTGGTGTTGTAAAAAGCAGTAATGGTCTCAAAAAGTGTGGTCGAATCGTATGATGATGTCGTAGGTTGTAATATTGAACGGTTTCTTTGCACCGTACTATAGAGATTACGCTCGTTTCTTTAAGTGATAAAAATGACCTTTTCCATGCCTCTAGTGGAGAGCCGGAGACCAAGTGAGTGATTAAGTGATACGCTTTCACATTGTCAGAGTAATCCGTTCTTTTTTCTTACTTATGGATAACGTTCACAATATTAAGCAGTGAAATCAATTTGAGTATAATTTTAACGAAGCTAGGAGGAATGTATGACAAATAATTACCTACTGTAAAAATTGTAGATGTTTCTTCCTTGAAAAATTATTCGTGCTGAGAGGTGGCGCGATTGGAGAGAAAGAGAGATATGGTAAGATTGTTGTATGGGCTGCGCATAAATCGACTGTCGAAAGCATGGAAGGTCGCCAGTTGAAAGCCCCTCGATGAGGGTTTGCGGTCAAGGACACCAACACCCCACACGCCACTCCACTCAACTATACCACTAAGCACCGCCACCACAACTATCATCAGCGCAGTCAAAATCACCACCAGCATCATCATCATCATTATCATCATCATCATTGCCATCATAATCACTACATCATCATCGCTTTGCCATTAGATAGCACTAGAAGGCGTATCATAGCGCTTAGATTTAATCTGGCCAAAGAAGACTGGCAGCTAGTTGCTACACGCATGTCTAAGTACGGATCGAACATGAATAGTACCAAGAACAGAAGTAATGGTGATGTGTTTGGTAGAATGGAAGCAATATTTATACAACGAAAAGTGTTGCAACAGTTATATTTATATACAAGTTATCCCTTGAGGGTGATCCGGGCTTCGAAGAACAACTGAGATTCTCAGCTTTGCTCGTATATCAGCATTTTGTGGTTGTACTTCGTACAATGCCCTACCAAGAAAGAAGAATAGGCAGTAAATAAAATTTAAAACACTGTGATTTTGACCACAGCTTAAGCTTGACTGGGCTCAATGTCGGTTTTCGATTGGTGCAGTGGATACCCTGTGAGCCCCCGGAAAGGTTAATGGCGTGTTCGAAGCGCACTTGAGGCTCCGAGTTTTATTCGTTTCTCAGCATCATTGTGGTTGTATCTGAGACAATATCCTGCCATGAGAAAGTATTAGGCAGTAAATAAAAAGTTGAAAATATCGTAAAATCAGATATTTAGTGGTATAAAAATATTGTAAAGCTAGATATCTAGTAGTATTAAACTTCGGCGCCCGCTCTTTACCTTTTTGAGGAAAAACGATATAAGATTGGAACAGCAATTTACGGTGTCATTAGAAGATCACACTCGAGAACTGCTCGCGCTCACACATGTAAACAAAACGAACACGGAGGTAGACAGAAGATATACATACATGTATACATACATTCATTTGTATATATGTGCAACATATATATATATATATATATGTACATATATGTATATAAATACCCAAACACACACCGACGAACATATACACAAGTTTCCACCGATGCTGTTGCGATAAGGAACGCACCTGCACATCAC